ATTTTCCTGTATATTTTTCGAAAACTTTTTAGAACTGCCTGCAATTTTTCCCACGGTATAATTTCTTAATCTCTGATATTACCATAGTTATCATATATGTTTCTTTTATCGAGATCTACCAGCCCTGAAAATATTTGCACTTATTTAAAACTCGCCCTGTATAACCAACCATTTTGTTCGGTTCATTTTGTTCGGTTATAGAACCGAACAAAATATTACAAGATGTACCATCCATTGTACCATTTCAGTTTTAATATAAAACTGAAATGGTACAATGGATGGTACATCTTTCTCCAAAACACTTAAACCAGAATTTAACGATTCTATTCCTGAATGATACCGGACATATTTAGCAGTACCACAAAAATCGAATGTTCATGGTTAATTTTATTTTTGGGTTAAGTAATATTTATTTAACACGTCTCGTTAGATATTTTAATCTACTTATTCATTGTAGGATAAGGAAAAATAAGACTTAAACAGTTAACACAAGTACCAAAATGATGTAAAAACTACCACCTTTTTACATTTTAAATGTTTGACACACAAAAATCGATTCAATAAATCCTTGAATTGATTAAAACTGTTTTATTATAGGAGGAATTAACTATTCTGTTCGGTACTATAAAACTGGAATGGTACATGGATCTGTTTAACAGTACCACAAAAACCTAATTTTCATTGTTAATTATACGTCCTTTCTCTCAAACATTTAAACTAGAATTTAACGATTCTATTCGTTAGTATAAAAGTGAAATGGTACCGGATATATTTAGCAGTACCGCAAAAATCGAAGTTACTTATTGTAACACGTTTCGTTAGGTATTTTAATCAACTTATTCATTATAGGTTAAGAAAAGATAAGACTCAAGTAGTAACACAAGTACCAAAATGATTCAGCAGGTACCATTTAAAAACTACCACTTTTCTACATTTTAAATGTCGGTCACAAAAATCGGTTCCCTAAATCTTTGAATCAATTAAAATTGTTTTATTATACGAGAAATTAACTATTTTGTTTGGTACTATAAAACTGAAATAGCACCATCCGAGGCACCATCGATCTGTTTAACAGTACCATAAAAACCAAATTTTCCTTGTTAATTATACATCTTTCTCTAAAACACTTAAACCAGAATTTAACGATTCTATTCGGTACTTTAAAAGTGAAATGGTACCGGATATATTTAGCAGTACCGCAAAAATCGAACGTTCATGGTTGATTTTATTTTTGGATTAAGTAGTACTTATTGTAACACGTTTCGTTAGGTATTTTAATCAACTTATTCATTGTAGGTTAAGAAAAAATAAGACTCAAATAGTAACGCAAGTACCAAAATTGTTCTGCAGGTACCATTCAAAAATTGCCCACTTTCTACATTCTAAATGTATGACACGCAAAAATCTGTTCCATAAATCTCTGAAACGATTAAAACTCTTATTGCCCGAGGATTTAACGATTTGGTTCGGTACTATAAAACTGTGATGGTACCATGTATCTGTTTTAACAGTACCGCAAAAATAAAATCTTCATGGTTAAGTATGTGTCTTTCTAACGAGTAAAACTATGATTAAACAAGGATTTATAGATTTTGTTCGGTACTATAAAAGTGAAATGGGTACCGGATCTGTTTAACAGTACCGGAAAATTCGAATGTTCATGGTTGATTTTGTTTTTGGGTTAAATAGTACTTATTTTAACACGATTCGTTATGATTTTATTCTATTATACTCATTGTAGGTTAAGAAAAAATAAGCAGTACCTGCTTAAAGTAGGTAATATAGTCAGTTTGTAAGTACCGAAAGTACCCAATTTCAAGTGCACATACAAGTGTTTGCTGTCTGTTTAATTGTTGACATACATACATTAAGAGAAAGATACGAAAAATTGCGAACAGTTGATGGTACCACATATTTGCTTTAATATTTTGTTAGCATTTAAATAAAAAAATTTAAACAGCAATTTTGAGATTTTTTTTAGAAATATTCCATTCTGATGAATTTATATTGTCTATTTCAGTATTTATTAAGTTCACGTTTGAAACTGATATAGATCATACGATATTTTGTAAATAAACTACGTTTACCTTACAACTTCTCTACGTCATAGCAGATGTACAGGGTGTTCCATTTTCATGTGTTTTATGGGATTTCTTGTTTATGAGTAAAGATGCGCTTTTCTTTTTTTGCGCATTATGCTACTTTTTTCTGAAACTAAAGATGCTACATACAAATATGTCCCAGCTCTCTTAGTTCCTGAAATACAGGGCGAATTTGAAAATTTTGCATTTTCCTCGTATTTAGGTTATCCTATAACTTGTCAAAAAGATGAAAAATGTGTTCCGTAGAGTTTTTCACGTAGAATCCAATGGCGTAATTAGTTTTTCGCTGAGAGTTGTCATTTTCGAAACATGCCGCGAGACTTTCTGTTGAAGTACGTATAGTAGTATATATATACTATACAGGGTATCCCAGAAATAAGTGCAAGTATTTTAACTGGTAGTATAATTCAACCCCAGAAACACGCCTATGAGAAAAAAATCGAAATTTTTTTTGGATTTTTTTTAGTTTTTAGTTAAAAACCTTAATTTCTTGATAATATGGCAACATAGGTATTAGATTAAATTTACAAGAAAGAAAATCCAGAAAATATCCAGTGGTTCTCAAAATTTTAGCAAAAAATCATTTTTTTTTTGGAAATTTTCGAAGTAAAATAACTCCGTTATTTTGGACTTATTTAAAAATCGATAAAGGGAAAAAAATATGTGTCTTTTATCGAGATCTACCACTTCTTAAAATACTTGCACTTATTTCTGGGACACCCTGTACAGGGTGAGTCAATAACAATATTTTTAAGGGTAGTATATTCGACCGAAGAAACACAATTAAGAAGTTTTTTTCACGATTTTTTTTTAAATTTGGAATTAAGAAGGTTGTAATTTATTTTTAAAAATTTGGAATTTTTTGAGAAATTTTTTGGAATTTTTTAATAGTTTTCTAAGGAGATTAAATTTACAAGAAAGAAAACCTAGAAAAAAAAAGCGCCATTTTTTAAGCTTTTCAGCGATATAAGCTATATGTTTTTTTTTTCAAAAAATTAGTTATAGCCAATTCTTATCTTACTTGACTAATTTCACTTAGTTGGCATGGTGTTCTTATTTTGTTATGATTTATAACTTCTAAAAAGACGAAATATATTATTAAACGGCTCTTTACAATTTACATTACACAAACTAAAACTTAAAAAATAATATCATTACATACACTTTAAGTTATTTTAGCAAATGTTCAAAAAAAACGCGATTGTTTTGAGTACATAAATGCATATTTTTTAAACTGAATTTCTAGCTATCCTCACAGAACGACCGGTCGACTTAATTAAACTTCTCCTGTACCGCCTCTTCGAGTGCCTCTCTTAATTCATAAGTTCTTTTGTAAACCTTGTTATTAACCTTACCGCATAAAAAAATCTAAAATGGATAGGTCAGGTGATCGAGGAGGCCCATGCAATTGGTCCACATCTTTCTATTCCTGAGTCTACATAAAATGTAATGATATAAATAATTTTTAACATTTCTTTCATTGTGGAGGAGGGGTGGTGTTTCATAATAAAAGTCATGTTGGAACCATTTTATTAATGCGCGAGTATCTAAATTTAACTTTTCTAATATGTCTTTAAAACCGTTCTCTAAAAAAGATAAGTAACGTTCACCGGTCAACGTATCCTAGAAACTGTATGGCCAACAAAAGTTGAACCAATAATCCTACATGCTTTTCTTCATTTGAAAAATTCATATTTACAATTTTTGTTTATTTTAATTTACAAAGATTGGATGTGACAGCTTCACATTTCTGAGAGCAACGACGATTGATCTTGTTTCCATGGCTAACTAAGTAAAATTAGTCAAGATAAGAATTGGCTATAACTCAGTATTTTTTAAAAAAAACTTATTATAGCTTTTATCGCTGAAAAGCTTAAAAAATAGCGCTATTTATGAAGCTATAGCCAACTATGGTTTCCATTTAAAAAAAACATATGTTTGTGTCATATATGTCAAAAATGACAGGCTTTAGAAAAAAGTCTGAGAACAATGTCTGAGAATGATGTCAATGTCTGAGAACACAGTCGGGATGTGATTATCTACAACTTTTATCTGAAAACTTTTTGTCTAATATAGATTATAGTGGAATTAAGGACAATTTTTAAAATAGCCAAAATTTGTTTTTTTTCGAAATATCTAGTAAGCCATGAACTTTTTCAAAAATATGAAAAGCGCATATTTATGACCCCACAAAACTGCAATTCTTCCCCATTTAACCGATTCTCTAACTCCAGTAGTTTCCGAGATACCCATAGAGAACTTCGTAGGAAACTCACCCTGTATAGACAGACTAATCTCCACTAACTGGGTCATGACCATTCTGCTTTCCAAGTGGAAAACAACTTAAAGCAGTACTTAGCACCTGGAAGACTCCATCCGTAACCTGGAATGGGAATCCTCCAACGGTTTAAGTCACTCCAAGAAATTTCTCAGGACTTACGACCGAGAAAAATCAAAGATTTTCCTTGATTTTAGGAACAATCTTGGGATTGTCACGGGGTTTGTAACAGAACACTGTCTCCTCAACGAACACCTCAGTAGATGGAAGCTAAGAAACAAAGGCAAATGCAGATTCTGTGGGAACAATTGGAAAACACCAGAACACCTCATCACTGAGTACGTCGAGACGACAACTACAACCAATATTTGATGGTATTACTGCTCTGATTGGCATTACTGCCCCGAGAACTGTATAATGAGATATAACTCAAGAAAGAAAGACACAGTACATCTATAAGGTCGCGGTGATTAACTTCTTTCATCTCATACTATTTAGAATCTACAAAACAAAGATTATTTCTAAATTCTATGTTATAGCTGCTCTATATTTATTTATTACTCTTAGCTGTTAAATGCTTCAATTAGGAGTACTAACTTATATTTTCTCTGTTGTTTCAGACAGCTATCTTGACCCTGGTCCTGGTACCCCTCAGGGTAGGCCTGATATGCTTCATCGTAGTCACCGGTTGGATGTTGGCAACAGTAGGATTAATGGGAGTCAGCGAACAGGAGCTGCACGAGCGACCTCTAGAAGGCTGGAGAAAGTGAGATCTTTGCACTTGTTTTTGATAGTGATTACAGTCACTCACGATTTGTAAATATAGTCTGTAGAAAACCTCGTGAGTGATTGAACAATTATCATTAGTATCAATAACTTAACTGATTGAATTATAGAATTATTAATCTTTGATTTTATAAACTTTGTGGATATAGATATACTGTAAGCTATTACAAACTTAGATTACAAACAACTTTCTTTCTATGAGTAGTACAAACATTTTTCTCCTTTTTTTTTGAACAAGGTTAACATATAATTTTTTTTTATATCAATAATTATTTATCCACGTAGCTTTTAAGATCTAAGTTAATATTTTTTATGTAAATATTTGGTTGTGGGGTTTGGGATGGAACTAACCATAAAAAGATTAAAAAAATAATGTAATGGTAGTGATGGTAAAATAATTGAGATAGCCATCAACTTATAATAAACGAACTTTACAAAATTTATTTTTTTATTATATTTGAATCTTCAAAACCGATTTAGTGTAATAGTACCGTATGATCGAAAAAAAACGGCGTCAAAGACGGCTTGGGAATGGCAATCTATGCTAATTTTAGCGATGTCAATCTCTAGACTTCGTTTACTAAAAATTGACATAAAACTTGTCAAAAATGATCACTAATTATAGAAAGATTAAAAAAGGATAGAACGTTTCCAGACACACAAATCTATTTCCAAAAAAATATACAGGGTGGTCCGAACTGTATTCCGGAAACTTTAGCAGCATTCTGTAGATACAAATAAGTTAAAAAGATCGTATAAATATATCTCCTAAAATGCTTAGTTTCGAAGATACAAGGTGTAGAAATTTTATTTTTATTTCGATTTATTCCAAATAATTTCTGAAGTAACAGCAATATTTGGATGAAAATTGATGCTGGGAGTTTTTCGACATGATAAATTTGATTTTGATGTCAATATGACTCCTACTTGTAGAGGGCACCGCCTACATATATTTTAACTATTTTGAAGAGTAATAACTTCTCGTCCGTACCTGTATAAACCTGTTAAGTAAAAAAATATACATTTAGGATATTTTTTACGTAAAAAAGGTCTCTTGGTAAAAATCGCTACGAGTAATGGTTCTCGAGATATTTGGAATCGAAATGATCAATACCTGTCATCATTGACATAAGTTAAACATTTTGACTAAAGTTGACTAGTTATTAGACTGAAATCATAAATTTGAAATATTTTTGTGCCAAGAGATCAACAGAAACTGTTTATCATCATTTTTTCAAAGAAAAGTTTATGATTAATTTAAAAAAAAACAAAAAGTTCCCAAATTTATCATTTCAGTCAAATTCTCTTCTCAAGTTTATTTTTTGTTAATGTACTTAAATTTTTATTCTAAATATCTTGAGAACGGTTGCGCGTAGTGATTTTTACGAAGATACATTTATTACGTAGAAAATCACGGAAATGTATATTTTTTCATTTAGTAATTTTATACAGGTACAGACGAAAAGTTATTACTCTTCAAAACAGTTAAAACATATGTAGGTGGCTCCCTCTACAAATAGGAGTCATATTGATATCAAAATCAAATTTCTCATGTCAAAAAACCTCCAAGACACCAATTTTCATCCAAATATTGACGTTATTTCAGAAATTATTTGGAAAAAATCGAAATAAAAATGAAACTTCTACACCCTGTATCTCCGAAACAAAAAGTATTTTAGGACATACATCTATACGAACATTTCTACTTATTTTTATCTGCAGAATATGATGTCGAAGTTTCCGGAATACAGTTCGGACCCCCCTGTATATTTTCTCGAATTTTAAACTACACAGTTTAAAAATCATTTTTACTCAATACAAAAATAAATTACAACCTTATTAAGGTTAATTGGCAGTAACCGCCACTTAGCGCTTGACCTCGCCAAAATTACCATCGATTGTCATTCCCCAGCCGTCTTTGACGCTGTTTTTTTTTCATTCGTATAATATTTCTTTATAATAGCTATTCCTAATGTAGCTTGACAATGAATAATCTGTGGTCATACTACTAGATGTATATTTTCGTAGATCGCTCAAGTCGATAGTGGCCCAACTAATATTGTGCGTGTACACGGTGGCGGGAGTCAAGTTAAAGATAGTGGGGAGGCCGTGCTCAAAGGCCGAGGCTCCCATGGTGGTGCTGGCCCCCCACTCCTCCTTCGTGGACAGCGTGGCCATGGTGTACATGGGAGGGCCCTCTATAGTGGCCAAGGGAGAAACAGCCTCTATTCCTTTCTTTGGCAGTAGGTTTTTCTTTCTTTTGGACACGATCCTTTCAATGTCTTTCAAACACTTTTCTTTGAATGCTATAGACAGTGCTTCAGTGTGATACGTCTAGAATTTCGTTTTATTTGGAATAGACATCTAAAAGTTATTTGCAAAAATCTACCTTCAAATTACTAAAAATTTATACAGCCCCCAGAGACAGCTACAATTAAAATACCAGCAAAAACATGATTTTGTCATTGTCAAATTCGATGTCACATTTTTTTGTTTACCAGAAATTCTGGTGTAAAAAAGGTGGTTAATCTGTGGTCAATTTAGTTCTGAATTGGAATCATCTATAAAAGAAATAGTTGAACTGAAAAAGAATAGTACCACATACATCCACAATAATTCAAGGGATAAACGAAATATTTGTAACACAAGGAACTTTATTAAACTATACTAAATAATAAAACCTGAATAAAACGTTTACATACAGTATCGGACAAAATTAGAGCAACTTTATGATTTTTTCCACTTAAAGCTTGATTTTCATGCGTCCGTATCAACGTATCATCGGACAACGGATGCATGAAAATCAAGCTTAAGGCATATGATTTTGTAATATGAATTTGAAACTACTACCCTAAAACACGATTTACAAATGAAACAAGAAAATACTAGCAAATCTTTATTTCCTATTGTTTCTTTAAAAAAATAATAAATTCCAATAATCCTATTTTTTACTGCGACAAAATTAAAGCAACTTTTATTTTTTTCCATGCTATTAAGAATACAAACTAAATTTAAGTATCAAAAAGGCCGCATTATCAATATTTTGTCCAGTATCCTTTATTTACTATCACAGCTTCACACCTCTTGGGCATTGAATTAATTAAATTTGAAGTGACGTCAGCATCCATTGACATCCAAGAATTTTCAGTTTCTTGATAGAAACTATCACAATTTGAGATATTTTTTGAACGAATCTTCTTTTCTACTATTTCCCACAAATTTTCAATGGGGTTGAGGTCACGTGATTGTGGGTGCCACTATAAAACTCGAACATTATTATCATTAAACCACTGTTTAACAATTTTCGCTGTGTGTTTTGGATCATTGTCATGTATATGAATTTAAGTGGTATTTCCCATTCTGCATAAGGCCACATAACATTTTCAAGAATATTGCGGTATAATCGGTCCATCTGTCCAAGTATAATCGGTCCATTTTTCCACATATTTTGTATAATGGGCCTATACCGTAGGAAGAGAAACAACCCCAAACCATTATATTTCCTCCTCCATGTTTAACCGAGGGATTTACGTATTTTGGGTGTAGCCTTTTGCCTTCTGAAAGACGTACCCATCTAGCACCCACCATCACTCCCAAAGATGAAAAATTTTGATTCGTCTGAGAACAGCACCTTTTTCCACTCTCGGGCGGTCCACTGACGATGAAAGATAGCGAGCAGTAGTCTCGCATCCCGGTTTTTCTTTGACAATAACAGTTTCTTAAGAGGTCTTCTAGCCTTGAGACCAGTTTCAACTAGGCGTCGATGAATGGTCCTGGAAGAAACCTCTTGTTCCCCCAAATTGGCCAATACTTGTTGAGCTGACATTTTCGGCTCCCTTTGAACTAACCGTTTAATGCGACGAACAAAATGTTTGTTGGTTTTTCTATGTCGGCCACCTCGTTTTAAATTAACTACACGACCGCAATTCCGGAAATTTTTAATTGTCTTCAAAACAATATCTTTTTTGTCCAAAAACCTTGTTGATATGTCTGCCTGCGACATGCTACCATTGTAGGCGTCAACGATGCGTTGTTTCAAGTCATTTGAATAATGTATACCCCGAGGCATTCTACAGAGCAAAATTCTTGTATCCTTGCATCAACACTCTTAGAAAACTAACACTGCGTAAAGATCAAGTTGCTCTAATTTTGTCCATGAATTTCATCAACATATTTGAAAAAATGCAAAAAATTACCGATGAGGAATACATTTAAGTCAACAAATAATCGAAATGTTTTGGTTGAAAAAAACATTCCATTGCAAAAATAAATAAACCGATTCAAATAAACGATGGCAGTTAAATTCACATTTTTCTAAAGTTGCTCTAATTTTGTCCGATACTGTAAATCCCCATTCACTGCCAAACAATATCTCAAATAATTGTGAAATTCACGCCTCACAATACAAAACTGTTAAGGGTAGAATCTTTAGCATTCCACAGAGGTGTCTTTTTCAAACCCATCTAAATTTCTATATTTAATTTGCCCATAAAGACAGTTTTTGAGTGTGCTCCACAGGAAGAAGTCGTTCGACGAAAGAGCATGTGTACTTTTCCTACCGTATCCCCAATAAACGGGAGTCAATGTTTGTCTTTTCTTCAACATGAAAAATATTTACGTCATTGCTATTTTCTTCCTGTTCAATTATGTTTGTCTTCACACTTCCATATGCTTAATACCGTATGATCGAAAAAAAATGGCGTCCAGTTGGCTTGGAAATGACGATCGATGACATTTCCAATATAATTTTACATATTAGTATTTTAATAAAGCACGCTTTTAGATGTTTCAAAAAACTTTTAATAAGAGTAACTTTAACTCTACATATATGTTTCGGCTTGTTAGGCCTTTTTCAAGAGTTTTTTAAGAACTAATCGTCTAACTACACTGTAACTATATATATATTTGCTATGGGGGTGGGTTCAGAGAGTTTACAATAGGGGTAATAAAAAATGTGTTTAGAAATCCTTGTTGGTCGTTAACATTATTTTCGTTTTTAACAGATGTTAGTAGTATTTCTAACTGTTCAATGTAATTTAAGCGTCTACCTTTTGTTTCTCTGTGTAGTAACTTAATTGAGTTTTCATTAATTTTGTGATTATTTACTATACAATGTGTTGCAAGACCAGAACTATGCTGGAGATTATTAATAGACTTTACATGTTCTTTAATCCTTATATCTAAATTTCTACCTGTTTGGCCTATGTACACGGCATCACAATCATTGCAATCCACCCTATATACACCCGACTTATTTTTGACATTAGTTTTGTCTTTATTATTTAATAAAATTTGACCTAAATTTCTTTTATTTACGTTAATAATTTTATAAAAATAATTTTACATATAAAATGACAGCGATCTTCATAGCCATCGCTGACGCCGTTTTTATTCGATCATATGGTACCTTAGTGCTTTTAGTTTCAAACCTCCGATGTATTCTTTAAACTGTTTACTTTTTCGGTGCAGGCTTTCCGGAGACTGAGCTGCGAATATATCTAATACAGCGGGAATACTATTTCCAGCAAAATGCCGTTTAATCATCCTTTTCTACGACTAGCCTAGAAAATGCAGTTTGACACACGGAAAACTCGATCTGAAATTGGCGTTTTGCAAACTGTTGTGTGCCAAGGATTTAGCGCACGACATGTGTCATTTTTCACTCGACATGTGCCAATTTTAACATTTTTAACCTCCAATGTTTAGCTGAAACGCCAAACGCAACGCAGCCGTCAGAAAAGTGTTATCATTCCATCGCAAATTATTTCACAAAACTGACAAAAACTGAGTGAGTCTGCTGCTAATTTATAGTCGTAGAAAAAATAGCGTAAAAAACTCGATCGAAAACTTCTTTGTACACTCGCTCGACTACTGTCAACAAAAAACTGTCGAACTCGTGTGCAAAACGTCGTTTTCGAAACTCGTTGTTTAATATACTATTTCTAGCTAGATCTGATGCTTTTTCATCAAATAATATCGCTATTTCTTGTTTCCGATAGTTCCTATCTAAGATAAGTTGTAAGCATCTTTCGATATCGTAGATTTCGGCCTGAAGGATGCTGGGGTAGCTGCCCACTGGTTCGGAGTATTCAGTTTTCGACATGGGACTTCTAGAAGTACCTTAAAATTTTGATGATCTGTCGAAGTTAAATTATAAGGGATAATTATTAGATATATTAGTAATCTAGCCAGTTATAGTATGTCCTCTTGGTCACTAAATATTAAGAGTATTGTTTTATTCACAACGAAATTACAGAGGTGCCAAAGGTCCGTGAGTGGTTTTGAGGAAGGAATGGTACGGCTGTGCTAGACTGCTTACCCCCAGATAAATGGACACGAATGACTCGATATATCTAAATAAATTTAATTAATAAAATAACTAAAAAAAGACATTGAAAGGACTAGTGTACATTAATTATGACACATCTAATTTTTCTGTTGCTTTTGCATGATTATTAAGGTATTTTGAGAAAATACTGATTTAAAAAAAAATTAAATGATGAAATCAAAATACAATATTTAAAATATCAACATACGCGATATTGACTATATAATATGACTATTCAATGATATAGGTATAGGTATCTCTTCAAGGCTAAACATTTTTTTAGATTGATATCCCTATATCGAATGTTGTTTATTCATCGTTATAACCTATTGCAAATAATTCTTGTGACTGGATTTATTTTATTTCTCTATACAATTTACATGCACTAGGATTAAATATACAGGGTGATCTAGTCTTCGGAAACAATGCCAATAATAAAAATCTCTTAAACATATGTATACATAAATACTCTCTCCCAATAATTATAATTTAACAAAAATTAATCATGTATATTTTAATATTGCAAAAACTGTATTATCGAAAAAAAAATGGCGTCCAATTGGCTTGGAAGTGACGAGCGATGACCTTCCCCATATAATTTTACAAATAAAATGACAGCGATCTTCATATACATACATAATGACAATGATCCAAAAAAACGGCATTAAAAATGGCTTTGAAATGGAGACCGCTGTCATGTTATATGTAAACTATATGGTATCACCGATTGTCATTTCCAAGCCAACTGGACGACGCGCGAAAGTTTTTTTCGGTATCACACCATATCAGTATCAGTATCAAATAATAGAACCTACTGTAGTTTCTCAAAATAGCACATTCACATTCCTTTTTTTATGTATATAATGTTCTTTAGACCAATGTTACAGATTTAGATTACACTTATTGACCCTGTAC